TTAAGAAACAACACAGCCATAGGAGATATATGATGGCAAATAAAAACACAAAAACATGTTCAACATCACTAACCATTAGCGAAGTACAAATTAAAACCAGAATGAGATACTAGTACATACCTATTAGAATAGCTAAAATGAAAAACACTTATAATATCAAATGCTGAAGGATGTGAAGAGATTGGATCTCTCTTGCACTGCTGGTTGCAAATGTAAAATGATATAGCAACTCTAGCATTCAGTCTGGCAGTTTGTTAAAATCTAAACATGAAACTACCATATAACCCAGCAATTACACTCCTGGGCATTTATCTTAGAGAAATGAAACTTATTGTTCACATAAAAACCTTTACACAAATATTCGTAGCTTTATTTGTAATAGTCTCAAACTGAAAATGAATAAAATTTCCTTCTACCAGTAAATGATGACACAAACTGTGTTATGTTCATACAATGGAATAGTATTTGATAATAAAAAGGAACGATCTACTGATACATACAGCTTGGATGAAACTTAAAGGAATCGTGCTAAGTGAAAAAGCCAGTCTCAAAATGTTACTTACTGTATGATTCCATTTATTTAACATTCTCGAAATGACAAAATAATAGAAATGGAGAACAGGTGACTAGTTGTCAAAGGTAAGGGAAGGAGAGGGAGGATAAGACTATAAAGGGGTGTCACAAGGGACTTCCTTTGTGGTGATAGAACAGGTCTGTATTTGATTATAATGATGGTTATGTGAATCTATACATGGGATAAAATATCATAAAAGTATACATATAACATACAAAAACAGTGAATATATGCAAAAAATGGTGAACTCTGAGTAAAGTTTGTAGTTTAATTAATTATACTTTGCCAACCGAGTTTTGATAATGTTTTACAGTTATATAAAATACCATTGGGGGAACTGGGTCATAGGTGCACAGGACCTCTTTGTAGTATTTTTGCAACTTCTTATGAGTCTATATTTTAACACAAGTTAGGGAGACATAGAGGGAGAGCACATGTGTATGCATGTTCGCGGGAAAGAGAGAGGGGAAAAGAGAAATAACGAAGGCTTCCAGGCAAGAAGTCAAGTAAATAGGACAGACTTACCTTTCTACCTAAAACAATAACAACAACAAATTTTTTTAAACAGACAAAATACACAGACAAAAGAAAAACAGTTTCCAAGACACTGGGCATCAGGCAATGAAAGAAAGTGATCACTGAGAGACGAGAAACAAAATAAGCTCCTGCTTACTGCCTTGAAAGAAGCCC